GACAAGGATCAGGGTTTAGGGTATAGGGTTTAGGGTTAGGGGTTTAGGGTTTAGGGTTTAGGGTTTAGGGTTTAGGGGTTTAGGGGTTTAGGGGTTTAGGGGTTTAGGGGTTTAGGGTTTAGGGTTTTAGGGACAGCAAATCCAAGCATACTGGCGTCGGAGTCGCTAGATCGAATTTGGAGTTTGTGCTGGGAGGCGTCTTTGGCGGGAGGGCCTAGCAGTAGCAGTTGCAGTTGCAGTGGTGGCAGTGGTCGTCGTCGTAGTCGCAGTCGTTGCTTCTAGCGACCTTCCGCTGCGACACACCAGGAGCGGCGTGCCTTTGCCGCGAACTGAGCTGTTGTGGCAAGCCGTGCCGTCCGCATGCAGCAGCGGGATGAATGATGAACCAGGTAAGTTGACATGATGTTGACAAACCACACTATTTTGCCGACACCAAAACTTCCAATTAGACACGATCAAGGCCCTGCTAAAAATACCGTCGCATGGTCTGTTGTCGTGCATTCCAGGGTGTAATAGTATTGCAACCACAGTTTTGGACCCATTTCTGGCTTACTTGGGCCCTCAATTTTTGTTTTGCGCCGTTGTGTTGGGATGTTGCGAAACGTGGGGTTTCGGCACCTTTAAAACGGGCAAGAACCAACCGATGCCAGATTGGAGACGGTAGGCCAGGAGTTCCCTGGTCGTTGTAGTATTTCGTGGGTTTTAGGTTGGGAGATTCGCACACACTGTTGTTTTTGAATGTTGGGTGCCGGGTTGTTGTCGCAACATGGTCTGTGGTGAGAATGCTGATAAGGATGATGACGACGATCATGATAATGATGAAGGTGATGACGATTATGATGGCGATGATAATGATGATGTTGGCGGTGAACGAGTGGACGTTATCACCCCCGCCCCGCCCCTACCGCCCATCCTGAAACCCGAAGGCTCTGAAACCACGGAAAATGCACCGACGGAAATCCAGTTTCAGGGTTTAGAGGTTGGCCGTGACATGTTCTGGACATAAGGCATGCTTGGTCTAGCCACGAAGACTCCGTGGCATGCGGCAAGACTTGATGCAAACATCATTGCAGCTGCAAACCCATGGTTGTTGCATATCGGGAGAGGAACTGTTTGTTCGATAATTACAGTGGCGCCGGGCAACATCAACTCATCGTATACTTGTCGGCGATGATCTGTTTATTCACTCGTGATACGAGGCATGGTGCTTTGACGTATGTCTACCCCCAAAAGAATTAGCCACCCAAGAAGCGGCAGGATCACGGTAAGTTTCCCGTTCCCGGCGGTTGTTCGTTTGTAGGCAAACAGAGATTTGAAACAAACTTGTTGTCTGCACGCTGGTTGTGCTGTAACTGCATCGGCTGTCTGCAAGTTTTGGTCTGGCATTTAGGTTTCACAACTTGGTCTTTGGCTTGATGATGGGTTGGGGTCTTTCTCTGAAGAGCATTTTTCTGAAACGTTGCGCCGATTGCAACAGCGCGTTTTTCTATTGCCCCTTCGCGGTGCCCAGCCCATGAAAACTTGTTTCGGCACCCCCATGCTTTCCAGCCACAGGACACTTGCGTCAGTCGCAGCGACACTTCACCTCTGCTTGTATGCCTGGTTACTGATCCGTCTCAAGATTCCTACTTCCGGCAATTTGCTTGCGGTTGGGCTTGTTGGTTTCGGGTAGCACAACGGCATCGGCATGGTCCGATGTGTCAAATACGTAGCACTCCACAAAGTCAGAGAAGGGCACCACATGCAGTGTGGCGAAGTGGTTTTTGCATTGCAGTGTTGCTTCGAGCATGCCTGCCGATTGCGAAAACCGGCGATTGATTGTACTACCGGTGCCTTTAGCAGGGTGTCCGGCGCATGTGTCAAGTTTGTGGATTCCCATTGCAAGATTAGGATTGAGAGCGTCTTGGTCGTTAAAGGTTTTGGCTAGGCTGGTGCACCTAGGGTTCTGCTCTCAGAACAAAGTAATAAAGGGGGCCGCAAAGAATCACCGAAGAACGTTCTTCAGCTTGCTATGTTGTTTCGCCGTGAACACGTTTATTTTGGTTGAGCCGCCGAAGCCTTTCATACTTTAGTGGTTGGTCGGAAATTTTACTCTAGTCTGGTAGTGTCCTGTTGATTGGGGCCAGTTTGTCCGATTCAGAATTCCCTTTTTGCAAACGCAGGAGCTTACGGCAAAATTGTGCAAACAGCTCGACGTTTTCACCCTCGTAATTGTCACCAGTCTCTAAGAATGAGCCATAGGACCCTTCATGTGAGAGTTTCCCCACTCTGCGAAGGTCAGATCAGTTGACCAACAGGGCACCACCGTCCCATTGTTTTCATATGCTTCTGCTGGGTTTGTGCTGTAAGACGGTGGAGCCGTCTGCTCCCAGAGATGTATTGGAGATGTTCCTCGTGCTGCTGCCCATGATCCTGTGGCCATGTGCCAGGACTTCGATGGTGCATTGTTTCTAAATACATGCTTTAGCAGTCAGTATTGGTGAGGATTTGGAGTTCTGCATAGGACGCGGTCTTCACACATGGGCTGGAACGTTTTTTTTCTTGTTTGCATTTGCTGTTGTTGCGCTGTTGTGCTCGGCAGCTGAAGCCCTGGCAAACCACCAATTGAGTGAACGGCCAGTTCGGGCCCAAGCAGCAAAAACTTAACACCCCCCCCCCCCCCAGCACTCGCAGCAAAAACGCACCACCCTTTGCTGGCGGTGCGAAAGGGAGTGTTGTTACTTGGTGTTGGCGTGGGGGATTGTGTGTGTTTGTGTGTTTGTGTTTTGCTGTTGGTGCCGGTGTGTTGTTGTTTCTTGTTTGCTTTGGCTGCAAGGGGTTGTTAGTTTTGCTGTTTGGGCCCGAACACCCGCAGCAACCGCAAAAACACACCAAAAGCACAAAAACAACCACTCTTGCGCCACCAATCCTATCCGGGGTGATGTGACCGCTGCAGTTTTTACTTCCAAATGAGCCCTCCACGCCATGAATGTAGACCCACATACCTCACGATCAATTCCAGGTCTCTTTCGATTTGCAGGGCACAAACCACGGTCTCAGGCGATTTGCAGAGCTCAGACCACGGTCTCAAGCATTGCACCGCCAGGCGCAACGGGTTTACTCCTGGCGGTCAAGCGGGGAGATGTCCAGGTGCGACTGCTAGTTGCCACAAGGCCAAGCTTCGAGAATCAGAGGTTTTTTGATGTCAATGCGAATGCTTTCCAGAGTAATAACAATCATACTAGCAGTAAAGATAATGAGATGACCAATAACAATAACGAAAATAATAGCCACAATTGTACTTATTAAGTGTTTTTCCAGCAAGTTTCAGATTTTTGCTCATACATAATATTAGTTCAACTTTCAAGAGAGTTTTGGGAATAATCTTCTATTATATTTCTAGTACTGATACTTGTTCTGCCCGCTACCTTTGCTGCTGGGCCTCTGAAGCCTGAGACTATGATCAGCACGACCCAATCTAGGATGAGAACAGGGGGTCAGCAGATCGCATTCGCTCTGTCTTCTTAGAGTTGGGGTTTAGGGCTTAGGGCAACCCTTAAACAGACCGAACCCAGGGCTGAATTTAGGGACAAAAACAGGAGTTTGAAACCAGCAGAAGCCTTAGCGCTGCTTATGTCACGCCTTCAGCCGGAGTGCCACAATCCTGCGTAAAAGCTCATGTGCAACAGTTTCTCCGGTGTTGGGCCTCCGAATGGATATCCGTGAGCAAATGTGTTTGCAGAGCTATAGTTGAGGGGTCGAAGCGCCTGCCCCACCCTGAAAGCAAGCAGTGGGAGGGAGGTGGCGGGCGATGTATGCCGGTACTAGCAATTGGAGAATAGACCAAGAAACCCTGCCCTGAACGGCTTCGGCTTTTACCGAGCCCCAAAACCTTGAAGCTCAAAGAAGTGAAAAGTTCTACAGCATGAACCTTGCACCCAAGGCTCTAAGCCCTGAAGCTCGAATGGCTTGAACTCTCCTAGAAAGACCAAAACCTCTCAGAAACTGACCTGCTGCAGGTAGTCAAAGTGCTCCTGGATGCCGGGGCGAATCCGAACGATGGAGACAGCCACCTGGATGTGAACACTGCGGGCTTTCCCGCTTCACAGCTGATGAATCAATCTCAATTCTTTAAGGTTTAGGGTCTAAGGAGCTTGAAATTCGGATGAGGAGCATAAACCCTAATCCCTAAACCCTAAACCCTAAACCCAAAGCCCTAAACCCTAAACCCTAATCATTGGCATAATCCTGAGTACGGAAGGTTTGCGAGTCAGCGGTCCTTTAAGAAGCTGGGCTTCCGAGGCTTCAGAGGAGGGTAATTATAGGTTCTACCGAAAGCTTAGGGGTCTGGGGGCTTAGGGGTTTAGGGTTTACGATTCATGAATTAGAGTTTAAGGGTTTAGGGGTTTAGGGTTTAGGGTTTAGGATTTAGGATTTAGGGGTTTAGGGTTGAGGGTTTAGGGGTTTAGGGGTTTAGGGTTTACGGATAAGAGAGTCGGGTTTAGGGTTTACGGATAAGGGAGTCGGGTTTAGGGTTGAGGGGCTTAGGAGGGTTTGGGATTTTCCTCTTCCGGGCTGACGAGAACCCCAGTGTGGGTTCACGTTGTCGGCCCGGTTGTCGCAGTTGAGGGATTTGTGAATTTCGGAAAACTAGGGTACCTTATTCTGAGGTCCTTATAATAAGGATTCTACTACTTAGGGTCCTATTTCAGGGTCCCTTATTTTCTGAGACTCCCATTTTGCAAAGAAAGGCACGTCAGGCGACCACTGGAGAACGCCAGAACTCTTTACACTTTCTGTGAGAGAGCAACCCTGTAAGCTGTAGTGAATAGACGCCTTACAGCTGCTACGGAGCCACATATTGCCTCGATATGTGCCTGAAGTCTGCCCCCGAAGACGTTGATAACAAAGGTACAAAGCCATACCAGAGCAACCAGACCCGTGCGCCGCCACCCTTTGTCCCTCAACCCCAAACCCTTGTCACCGACGCTTACCTGAAATACCCAAAACCGGGTCTGCAAAATTGGTTATAGTGTGTCCCAGTATTTCCATATAGTTACACCTCAATATACCCCAAGACCCTCTTCCCACCTACATAGGTTTTATACCTAATTTTTGAGACAGGCGAGGTTCTGGGTTCCCGAGGTAGCCCACACCCTGGGACCCTGCTTGAAAAAGACGGGACTTGAGTTTTTGATGAAAGACGTCAGGCCGGCCCAAGCCCACCCTTAGCCCCTGGAGCCTTGACCCTGAAACCCCTGGTCAGCCCCCTGCGAAAGCTTCACAGGACCCTTACAGAACCTTTGTAGAACCCTCAAAGAAACCGTATAAACCCTTAGCGA